ACATAGTAGCAAAGGCAGGAGTCTGCCTTTCCTTCTTTCTTTGGGACATGTACTGAGCAGACACTGAACCACATCCAGCTGGGAGTCTGATAATTATACAACCTTAAGTCCCCGGAGGCATGATGCCAAGTCTGGCGGGGGGGGGGGGCAGTTCTTCAATAGACTGGTCTAGGATGAATGGAGGACAGTGAATTATTCAAGGGAACATCCCCGCCCCCTTCCAACTCTGGGAAGTAACTCAAAGTGCTTCTTCATGATAGCCAGTATCACTATTTTCAGATCAGAAAGACCACAAGTTACAAGAGGGAGTACTATTTTGTGCTGTTTTTCTAAATATAAAAATAAACAAGTCTTATAAATCTTTACCCATAACACTTTTTCTTTCATTTTCTCTCTTTACTGCCCAGGACAGTCAATGTTTCTCAGAGGTCCACTTCTGGAAGAGGTAAGCTTGTTGGTAGTGGACCTATTATCCCACTGAAAACAACTAGAAAGCCTGTTTAAAATACAAGTGTGTACATTGGAAACATCCTAAGAACTTGAGGGCTCAAGATTCCAGAGAGAGGGACAATTCACTGATGTGAACTTTGTATTCTAAGCCCATCTTCCCTGGGGCTCCTGGGTGGCTCAGTCAGTTAAGCATCTGCCTTCGGCTCAGGTCATGATCTCAGGGTCCTGGGATCGAGCCCTGCTTTGGGCTCCCTGCTCAGTGGGGAGTCTGCTTCTCCCTCTGCCCCTCACCCCATTTGTGCTCACTCTCTCTCTCTCTCTCAAATAAAAAATAAAATCTTTAAAAAAAGTTACAAGCCCATCTTCCCCATGAGGCATTTGCTAATTCTTACACAATCACAGAGAGGCTGAGAAGCAGATCAGAAATCAAGCTCTAAGAGGCTTTCTGGAATTCCCCAGGGCTACGAATACAAAATGTGCATTCAAGCCTTCTGAAGCAGCCAGGACTTGGGTCAGAGAGAAGGGATGTGAAGTGTAGTGAGTCTACACATCTGATCTGTTTGCGCCTCAAAGCATTCTTTAACTCCTCAGCTGTGCACGCAGACATGAGGTGAGCAGAAAGTGGTAGCCAAGAGGCTGAGCGGCTAAGGAGAGATTTTAAAAGCAGTCTTATTGTATAAAACTAAAAATAAAATTCAAGGCCCTATAAATTCTCTGACTTAAATCAGAACTCCTGTAGAAATAAAGAATAAGAGAAACTGGAAATAGACCAGATCTCACAAAGACTGAACCCTGATGTTAAAACAACTGAAGATGATCATCTCTTATTCAAACTAGTTGCCAGAACTGAAGGCTCTTCAGAGTCCTTGCAGTATTTCACAACACAATGTCCAGCATTCAGTCAGAAAACACCAATCATACCAAGAGTCCAGGCAACAGAAATAGACTCCTAGATAACAACTTCAGTATTGGAGTTATTGAGTACAGATAAAAAATAACTGTGACTAATATAAATCAATAAGATAGACAAGATGGCAAACTTCACAGAGAAGTGGAATCCAGGAAATAGAATCAAATGGAAATTCTGGGATTAAAAACACAGTGATTGAAATTTTGTACAAAGTAGATGATTAGCCACGGCTGAAGAGAGTAAATTATCTAGAAGTAGGTCAGTAGAAAATATCTGGATAAAAGCCAAAGAAAACAAAGAATGGAAAATAAAAAGAATTATAGGAAACATATGGAACACAGTAAAAAGATTTAATATGTAAACTGGGGAAGGAGGAAGAGAGAAATCGTTCAGAATCATTATTGGAAAAAATAGACTAGAATTTTGCAAAACTTACAAAAGAAACCAAGCCATAGATTCAAATATCACTATAAACCCCAGGCATAACAAATGCAATGGAATTCACCCAGGCATGTCGTTGTAAATCTGCTGAGATCCATAGACAGAAATTCTTTAAAATGCCAGAAGAGAAAAGGAGCAGCAAGAACACGGATGGAGACAGGAGAGTTTTCAGTGGAAACTATGGAAGGCAGAAGACAATGGAAACACTGAAAGACAATAGCTGTGAGCCCAGAATTCTGTATTTAGTAAAAATATTCCTCAAAAATGAAAATAAGGATATTTTCAGACAAATAAAGGCCTGATAATATACCCAGCAGACTCACACTAAAATGCTAAAAGGAATTCTCTAGTCATAGGAATATCCTGTTAGCTGGAAGCATTAAAAATGCACACCAGAATAGAGTACGCGGAAGGGTAAGTATATAACTGTATAAAACTGTAACCACAATGTCGGTGGCATTTAAAACATCTGTAGGATTAAAATTCATGATGAAAATAATACAAAAGATGATTAGTAAATGGGGTTAAATGTTCTCCTGTCCTTGCATTTCCCAGGAAGTAGTAAAAGTGCTAACTTATTTTCAATTATAATAAGTCTAGGATGCATATTGCAATTTCTACCAAAGCTGTTGAAGTAATATTTTAAAAAATGTATAATTAACAATCCAATAAAGGGAAAAATGGAATGAAAAAAATACTTCATTAACTCAAACAAGGTAATGAAGGAGAAAATTCAGGCATGTGAGTCAAATAGAAAACAAATAGTAAGATAGTAGATATAAACCCAGATGTATCACTAGTTACATTTAATGTACATGGATTAAATAATTAAAAGGCAAAAAGATTGAATTTTAAAAAATACATCCTTCTCTATAGTGCCTAAAGGGATATACATGAAATGTAATGCACAGAAAAGTTGGAAGTTACAGGATGGAAGATGACATGCCATGCAAGCATTAACCAAAAGAAAGTTAGTATAGTCATGTTTACTAATATCAAGGAGAGTAGATTGTAGGTAAGAGGAAATGCACAGATAAAGAGAAAATGTCACACAATAAAGGCTTCAATCCCACAGAAAGATAGAATAATTTAGTCTTTATGAACTTAAAAATATAGCTTTGAAATATATAAAGCAAAATTGACAGAACTATAAAAGAGTAAGTCCCTCACAATCAGAGTGGGGGACTTTAATGCATCGCCTGTAGAAATTGACTGACCCAACAGACAAAGATTAATCAGTAAGGAGAAAATTTAAACCATACAATGACTTTGTAGAACATGGCACCCAACACCTGCAGAATACACATTCCTCCCAAGGTTGAAATGGAAGAGTCACCAAAAATGGCCATGTTTGGCCATAAAGCAGCCCTTAATAAATTTCCAAAATTGAAATCATAGAAAAAATCAGTATTTTTAAACTTTTTCCAACCCATAACACGTACCAGGGGATCACTGCGCCCAGAGTGGCTGTGCCCACACTCACCTACCTGTGCTTCTTACCTTTGAAGGCTCCCATCTTCTCCATGGATTCTGGACCCAGAGGGAGGCTCATTTCCAACTCAGAGGCCTGTCCTTAACCAATTCACTTGATTTTTGCTAGTAATACTGGTATTTATGTTTTTGTTCATAAATTTAGTTCTCAGCTGTATTTTAAGCTCCTGAAAGGGCACTGTCCTCCCTTGTGGCATTCAGAGGTGGGCCTGGACACTGTGGGGCCCTCAGGAACATTGGGAGCCAGCATCCGACGCAGCTGGCTTTGAGGCCATCACTGACCGGAAACATTCTGATGGGCTCAAACTGTTAAATCATTAAGATTTCAGCTTTTGAAAATCACTGTAATCAGGGATCCCATGAGAATGAGGGAGAGGAGTGGGGGGGGGGTCTGGTCAATGATGTTTTTACATTTTGTTTTGTCAAAGCTCCCCTGGGGACAAACACTGTGAGGTCCTGCTTGGGACCAAGGATGCCATCAACACACCTGGCGGGGAGATCCCTCCAGGGAGTGGCTCCACCAGGGGCCGTGTGACGGTGAGTGATGAGAAAGCCCCCCAACACCTCTGAGTGGAGACACGTGGAGGGGACGCCTCCCTCCCAAGCCCCGTGCTGAGGGAGAACTGGCATTTCGTGCGTCAAATCACAAAGAACTCTAAGAATGTTTTATGAGATTCAAGCACAAAACAGAAAAATTAAAAGTATATGAACAAAACAAACCAAAACCAAAACAAAACAAAACACTTAGACATCTGTTTACTGTTGGAGGGGGGCAGAAAGGTAGTTGGTGCTAAAGAGGGAAAGGCTCAGGAATCAGGGGTACCTGCATCCTGCTCTGCCACCGACCGGGCGACTAGGGAGTCGGGTGTCCTCTCTCTACCTCCGGTTCCTCAGCTGGGATCTCACAGGATTGTGAAAGCCTCAACCCTCTGAGCCCAATCCCCACGCCTCCATGCTATAGCTGACTTGATGACATCAAAGAGAAGAGAGGACTTCTGTTTCTCTTGAGAAGAGCGTGCAGCCAGCAATCACAAATAAAATGACTTAGTTTAAATCAGTTTCCATCTGTGTTCTAGAACAAATACCAATCCATCGCCAAAACTGTACCTCAGGAGAGAAGTTCTCTCCCCAGGCCTGTTCTCAGACATGATCCGTGAACTCCACACACCTGCCTTTCTGGGGAAAAGGCCATCTCATCGTGTCTTAAGTAGCTCCTCCCAGCCTCACCTCACGAGTTAAGCAGAGGTATAACCTGTCCACAGTCAGAAGGGGTTTGGATAAGAAAGCTTGCTGCAAGATATGCTCTGGTGGGTCCCCGGAGAACTGCTCTGGGTCACCTTCCACACCCCAGAGACCCAGCCTGTGTTTCCATGTCTGGTACGCATTGTGATGCAAGGACATCGCGTGTGTGTTTCATGCACGTGCGTGTGCACTCTGCAAGGTGCCCCCACGGGAGGGAGGCGTGCAGGGCTGACTCTGGTTCGTCATGACAGAATTCTCAAAAGCTGAGTTGAGCTTCCTCAAAACCTGTCCTGTTCGAAAAGATGAACCTCAAAAGGCTCTTCTTTCTCAGACTTGGTAATTTTTGTTTCTTTAGAAAAAAAAAAAGACAAAGACAAAAAGAAACCCACATACCCTCTAGCTTAGCATTTAAATAGCTGAGCTCTACCTGGAATTGCACGAATAAAACACGCTTCCTTGTGCAGCATGGTTAACAACATGTGTACATATATGCTCTTTATTCCTGAGGGGCTGTGGGGTCTCACGAAGTCTGGATTTCCTATAGAGGGGGCTCCTTTGGAGCAGATGGCCATGCTGACTGCCCTCTGCACCTCTTCAGAGCCTCCCCGTCCTCTTCCACTTACTGGAGAGAGTTCCCTGCTTGGAGAGAGGAGATTTCCTTGAGAAATTCGATGCACTCTGCTTGTTCCCATGAGCCTGCCTTTCAGACCCTCCCGGGGAGTCCTGCAGCTGCAGGAACTAGAGAAGCATGAAGCCAGCCTCCAGCGTCCCCAGTCTGTGGGCTGCAGTCTCAGGGGCTGTGGGGGCTGGACAGAGCCGCGGGAGGAGAAGGTCCCGGGCGGGGGGGTGGTGGGGTGAGGTGCGGGTGGGGATGAGCTTGCACGATGGACATCACCCTGCAGATGCGCAGAGGATGGTAGGGGACAAGATGGAAGCTAGAGAGATCAGGGCTGACGGGGCAGTGTTCATTGCCGGAGGGAGAAGGGGAAGGTGTGGGCTCAGGTGAGGTTGGCAGTGAGCCAGGCTGGGGAGAGAACTGGCAGGATCTTGGGGAGCATGAGGCCGTGACCCACACAGAGGGAGTCACAGAGAGAGGAGGACAGGGTGGGGGGCCAGACTGCACCCTTTAATGCCTCCCTGCCACTGCTTTCTGCCCGCAAACCCAGTGGGGACTCCTCTGAGCTCTGCTGGCTGGGCTGGGGGGGGCCTCCTCCCCTCGGGGGCAGCCCGCTGTGGACCCACTCCTGTGATGTCAGGCTCCCGGAGGTCAAGGACCTTGGTCCTTCCTGTCCACCCACAGCTGGGGCCCCAGCCCTGGACCTCGAGGAGTGTCTGCTGCCCATCCCCCAGACATCCAGGCACAGGGCCAGCCTGCAGGGGCTTCATCAGGTGGAAAGGCCCTGCCTTAGACATTTGAGTCATTGGAGACTTTATTGTTCTAACGACAGAACTCTCCAGTCCCAGGGAACCGGGAGTTTGGTGAAGTCTCTCATGAAATCTGTTTAAAGCAGCAGAAATTGGCTGATGTCAGTACCAGTCGGTGAATTTGCCGTGAATGGAGCAACCACTAACCTCCCTTTCTACCTCTGATTACACTGGGGGGAGTCCTGCTGGGGGGAGGGGCAGAGCAGGGAGGGGGGGCTGGGATTTCAAGGCCCCAGGGCTGGCTCCGGCCCCGCAGCATCCAAGTGGCTCCTGGCTGTGCTTGGTGACAACTCTCACAACCGGGAGGTCTCTAGTGATGTGTCTGGGACTCCATCCTGGCTGGCATTTACACAAAGGGCAAGATGGCAGGCTGGCCGCATTGAGCATGATCGGGGGTTGGAGGAACAGGCGACAAAAGAGGGGAGACCCAGAAGTGTCCCAACAGGCTGGAGCAGAGAGATGACCTAACAGTCCCCTGGAATGTGGGCTCTGTGAGGGCGGGGCTAGACGTCTGTGTCTGCAGTGTGAAATCCCGAGAACTCTGAATGGTGCCCGGCCCATGGTAGGTGCTCAGTAAACACTAGGTGAAGGTGGACGAAGCTGGCCAGGTTTAAATGTTTGGTCCTGCGCTTGGATCTACAAGGAGCCAACGCATGTGGCTTAGCGGTCACATTTACAAATCCTTGCAAGTCTTCATGAACACTAGCTTGAAATTAGGGTGTGATGCATCCCCAAAACCAGCCGGTCTTAGGGTGCATCACGGGTGTGTGGTAGGTAGAAGGCTGGAGGTGTTGATTTGAACGACCTATGTGACTACAGAGTCTACGTGGGAGTGGCTGGGAAGACAGGAGAGGACTGGCCTGGAGAAGAGGCTCAGAGGTGTTCTGGAAAGTTCCAGGGAGAAGCATGGGTCTTGAACAGAAGCCACTAGGGGGAAATTTGTGGACCAACTTCAGCACATAGGAAGTTGTCTGAAAGGGAAGGGGGTCGGGGGATGGAGGTCAGGGATGCCCACTGGTGTGGGGCTCAGCCCCAGGTGGGAGGCTACCCGCAGTGAGGTTTGGGGACTTTCCTGGGCCTGGCCGCAGGGTGTAAGACGGCAGCCCCACACACCCAGGACATGGCCCATGACTCCTTGGATTTGGACTCGGGGGGGCCAGGAGTCCCGCACTGACAACACAGGACACCCGTCAGGGGCTCCCTGCCGGTCTGCCCAGGGACTGAGTCACCTGCCCCTCCAGAGAGCAGTTCCCTGGAGCAGATGGTTTATGTCTCTTCACAGCGGGGGACGACCCAGCATAAGGAGCCACTTATCTATTATTCCACTTTACCTGAAGTTTTCCCAATGTTTTGAAGGATTTTGTCCAGAATTGATAGTTTTTTATATTGCTCATTTTGTGAGTTCTTCTTTCCTGTGGAAAAAATAAGTACAATGATCAAGATTTGGTCAATCATGAAGGCATGACCCCAAACATCTTTCCTTTTCAACTTCAGAGGCCTTCAGGGGGCCCAGAACCAAGAGTGTATGGTTTATGCTCAGGCACTCGGTGGAGACTTGCTTTCGTCATACTTTCTCCATTTTCTCCTTACCCTCTGAGGATGTGTTTGCCTGGTTCCCCCTGTGGGTGATGCTCCTGGTCACTTGGATGCTGTCCTTGCATCTGGACACATATTTTGTAACACATTTCACTCCTCAAAAGCGCGAACTTCTACCCTTGCCCTGTCCAGGCCTTTTTAACAATATTGTGTGGGACTGGTCTTGCCATTGGGGAGAGGGGCAGATTGTGGGTTCTTGGGGTGGGTCCAGGGTGGACCGGCAGCACAGAGTCGAGGTGGGAGAGGGCCCATGCAGAGCAGCACCCAGCCTGTGAGGCTCCCTTCCTCGGGATGCAGCCTTAACTGTGACCCACAGGGTCTTCTTACCCTTCTCCTTCCCAACCTTCCCTACTTTCAAAGTGTATCAAGGAGATCCACCCCCCTGAAGTTCTCCCAAATCTCCATTTGAACACAGCCAGGAACTCTTAAGAAAAACTTTAACTTTAGCACATTTATATTTGTCCAACATATGAATCCGAAGTTGTTGCTGGCTGGTCTGCATCTCCCACTGCTCCGTGGGTGTTTAGAAAAGAACAACCCCTTATTTACCTATAAGCATCTAGCAGGTGCTCTGTAGGTATTTTTTGAGTGAGTGAGTGAATCTTTTGTTGAAGCTAATGCCAATAGGAAATTAATGATTATGGCATAAAATTACATGTGTCCCATGGGACTCTTAGATAGTAATAGAACCTGAAGTTCAGGCACACTCTGGATGTCGGGAGTGGTGCTTTGGGTCATGAAGACTTTTCAGACATTCTGGAAATCACACAGGCCATTGGTTATTCTGGCAACAAGAGAGGGAAGCTCTCTGCAGAGCCTTCAAGCTGCTTTAGGCTTTTAAAATATTACTCCCAAGTTATTTTAAGGCAACAAATTCATATTTGTAAAAAGTATTATAAGCTCATGGTAGAATTTTAAAATTTGAAAAAGAAGGTCTGTGGAAAGTAAGGCCATTTCCAATACTTGACCCCTCATTTCCAGCTTTCTCCTGGAGGCCACGATTGCCATCTGTTTCTGTGTCTTCCAGTGATAATCTACACTGCAAAGATTGTTGCCAACATCACCCTCTCACTGAACACTTCAAGCCACATTTACATTTTTTTTAGAGGAAATAGCTCAGGAAATTTTGGCAGACAATTCAGGCTGACTGACTTATGGAAACATATAATTCATCAATAAGTATAAAAATTTTGCATCTTAATTTTCCTTATTTATGGAGTATAATCTATAGCCTTTAGGATTCCACATATCATGGTAACACTTACATGGGCCTATGTAGGTGTGGTTCCATTTGAACATCAATGCACCTGATGAGGCTTGTGGGAAATGTTTACTTTCCATTTGTAGATGAGATCCCAGTTAGGCAAAGCAGCTTTGCCTGAGGTCACCAAGATGGTGTGAGGCCTGGCTGGGAAAGAATCCTTTCAGGCCATCCTGAAGCTTCTGTCAGAGTTGAAATGCAGGGCTTTTCATAGCTATAGGATTCTCACATGGGTTCCCATGTGGAACCACATGGGTGAAAGTCCACTATCTGAACTTCCATGCATGGAAAAGATGGAGTAGCGAGGACCAGGTTTATCCTCCCAATTTAATTTAAAAACTAGGAAAAACGATATGAAACAATGATTGCCCATACATCAGACAACGGCAGCAAGGGACATGATCCCTGAGAAGGGAAATTGACAAGGGGCTCCTCATGACTGCTCCCGTTCCTGCCTGGAGAGTTTTGTCAGCATAACAAGTGAGGACATAGGCAGAGCCCTGTGGTCTCACCAGGAGGAGACGGAAGTGGGAGAGGCCAAAACAGCTAGAGAGGTCAGAGAACTGGGAGACCTGCAGAGGGTTGTCCTGAGTCTCCAGCTGAGTACAGGTCAGTGAGAAGCCATAGGAAGCCTGAAGATGGAAAAAGAACCCCCCAAAAGGGTGACAGAACAATTTCCAGAGCTCACACAAGCCAGAAACAGATGGTGTCCCCACTGGTACACATAAAAAGCCTCATTAGACACAAGGCATTGGGGAGGGTACTCAGAGTTTTATTGCCTCAGTATTGGGGAATAGTCGCCTGAGAATAAGTACTGCTTGGTCTTAACTAACAAAGCTTAAATGGGAACCTCAAAAGGATCAACTCTTTCAAAGTTATTTAACTGGGTTCAAGATCAAAGCTTTTGTATTTTTTAAAATACAACAATATGCAACACTCAACAAAGTGAAATTTATAATATCTGGCATCCAAACAAAAATGACCAGGCATGAATATAAGCAATAAAGTATGATCTATTAAAAAAACAACCTATAACGAGAAGAATTAATCAATCAAAAGTGACCCAGAAATGACATAGATAATAGAATTAGAAGGCAGGGCTATTAAAGTTTATCATAGCACCATATCCCATAGTTCAAGAAGCATAAATTCTCAGATTACATAAAAAAGCAAGACTTACTTGTACACTGCCTACAAAATCCCACTTTAAATATAAAGCACAAGTAGGTTGAAAATAAAGTGATGGAAAAGATCACCCAGGCAAATGCTAATCAAAAGAAAGCTAGAGTGGCTATTTAAATTTTAGACAAACTGTCTTTAGGAGCAAAGAATATCACTAAGAATAAAGAGGGTCATTTCTTAATATTAAAGCAGTAATTCATCAAGAAGATATAACAATTCCATATTTTTATGCATGCAGATGAAATGCAATGAAAGAGCTTCAAAGTACATGAAATGAACAGTGGTAAAACCAAAAGAGATGGTGAGCAAATCCACAGTTATCATCTGAGGTTTCAATTCTGCTTTCTTAATAGTTGAGTCAACAAGGAGACAGAAATTCAATAAAGATATAGAATGCTTGAACATGATGGTTCACCTACTTGATCTAATTGACATTTATAAAACACTCCACAAATCAACAACATATACACATTCTTTTCAAGTGCACATGGAATACTTGCTAAAGTACGATATATTCGGGGCCATATGGAAAGTTTTTAAAAATACGTTAAAAACATCCAAGTCATATAATGTGTGTTTTCTGACCAAAACGGAATTGAATCATAAATCAATAACATAGTGGTATTGGAAAAGTCTCCAAATATTTGAAAATGAAATAGCACATATCTAAATGGCCTATGGGTCAAAGCACAAATTTAAAAGTAGAGTTATAAAGCATTTTGAACTGAATGAAAATAAAAACGTAGCATATTGAAATTTGTAGGATGAGATTAAAGTAGAGCTAAGAGGAACTGAACGTTCATAATAAAGAAGAGGAAAAGTCTCAAATCTATGACCTAAGTATTCCTGTTAACAAGTCATTTAAAAAAGGAGAGGAAAAAAACCCTCAAAATAAACAGAGGGAAGAAAATAATAAAATTAAAAGAGGAAATGACTATGATGGAAAATAGAAAAATAATACAGAAAAATGAAACCAAAAGCCTGGTTCTCTGTGCAGTTCAATAAAATTGATAAACTACTAATTAGACCACTAGGGATTTAAAAAAGGGCACAAATTACTGGTATCAAGAATGAGAGAGTTGACATCACTATAGTTCCTGCAAACATTAAAAAGTGTAATAAGAAACTATTATGAACAACTCTTACTCTTTAGATGAAATGAGCAAATTCCTCTAAAGACATGAACTACCAAAGCTCACCAAGGAAGATATAGAGACACTAAATAGCCCTTTATCTACAGAAGAAACAAAATTTGTACTTAAAATCTTTCCACAAAGAAAATATAAGCCCTAATGTCTTCATTGGTAAATCTATCAGACATTTTATGTAGAGGTAATATCCATTTCATACAGACATATCTAGAAAATTGAAGAAAAGGGGACACTTCCCAACTCCTTCTGTGAAGCCATTACCTTGAAACCAAAACTAGACAAGAGCATCAGAGAAGAAAAAAACTATAGGCCAACATCACTCATGAATATAGATGCAAAAATTCTGAACTAAATTTTTGCAGATTGAATCCAAAATATATAAAAAGGAAACTGTATCATGGGTTTATCTTGAAAATACAGGTCTGGTTCAACACTCAAAAATCAAGACATGTAATTCACCATATGAACAGAATAAAGAAAACCAACTGATCGTTTCAATAGATCAGGGGTTGGCAAGCTATGGCTTATAGGCCAAATATGGATCAACACTGGTTTCAGTAAATAAAGTTTTATTAGAATATAGCCACACCCATTCTTTTATGTATTGTCTTTGGTTACTTCTGTGCTACAATGGCCGAGATAAGTAATTGCAACAGGGAACCATATTGCCCTTAAGGACTAAAATATTTATTATCTGACTTTTTACAAAAAAGTTCTCTAGGCTCACAATGGATACACCTAAGTTTGAAAGAATGTCCGTTCTTACCATTTGTATTTAACCTTCAACATTGTACTGGAGCTGGTGGAGTAAGGCAAGAAAAAATGAATAGAAGGTGTAAGTATTGGAAAGGAAAAAAAAATATCTATTCACAGATGATATGCTTCACTATGTAGTAAATCCCCAAGAATCTACAAGAAAGCTTCCAGAACTGAAGAGTGAGTGGAGCAAGGTGGTAGGGTGCAGAGTCTTGTACAAAACAATCACATTTATATACACTAGAAATGAACAATTGGAAGTCAAAATTTAAAAAAAGCAGGATCATTTATGATAATGCCAAGACTATGAAATATTTGTGTATAAATCTAATCAAATATATGCAAGGTCTTCATGCTGAACCCTACAAAACACTGGTGAGAGAAACTGAAAGGGACCTAAATAAATGGCGTCATTCATATTTATTTGAGAGACGGAGAGCCAGCACTAGTGGGAGGAGGGGCAGAA